AACAAGGGGGAAAACAGTCAAGAACAAAAAAAAACAAAAAACCACACAAAAAAAAAAAAAAACCACTGAAAAAAAAAAAAAAAAAAAAAAAAAAAAACGATAATAAAACTCGTGACGACTAATCATACTTGATAATGGATGATATGCTATATTAATAGAGTATCATTTTCGGTTGCCTCTAGCATCACACATCGTCACCACTATCGTCCTCCATTTCCTCCAAATTCACTCCATCGTCTTCGTCTTCGTCTTCATCATGTTCACTACTGTCGTCCTGTGAAGTGGCCACAATTTTCTGAAAATATAAAAATTGTAAATAGCCAAGTAAATCTGATTTGTTGATCGATAAAAAATTAATTAACACACACCTCGGCATTCAAAACATCATCCCTTATCGGCAGGTTAGTCCTTCCTTTAAATGAATTCCTTACGCTCGCATTACTGGACAAGTCCCAAATAAACACCTTTCCTTCCGAACCCGCCACCGCTAATTGAAAAGGCGAGTCCGGAGAAAATTGCGCAGAAAATACCTTTCCCTTAAATTCAAACGAGGAGCGTGAGGATTAAACAATATTAGTTATATGATCTTAGATTAAAATGTACCAACTTACCACACCCAAATCTCGGCTCGTGACAATCGTCGGCTTTGTGTCTTTGATATCCCACACTTTGACCATTTTATCTGTTGACCCGGTGATCACGCATCCTTGAATCAGTGGATTGATATCCAAAGATGTCACAGCCGAGTCGTGCGCATGTAATGTAAAGATTGAGGTCTGACCAGGACTCCGGACATCAAAATATAAAACAAAGCCAGCTTCCGTACTGACGTAGAAATACTGGGGCGCAAACGGGTCCCAATGTATGCATTCCGGATCGGCACCTCCCAAATTCCAATATGCGACATTAGATGGTGCACGACTGTCAAAGGCAGCCACCGTCTTGTCGAAAGAGGCAGTAAGCAGTATGGTTGAATCAATGAAATGCCATTCAACTTGCTGAACCTATTCCGAGGAATCGCCAATGTTGAGGTTTGATCATAACTCGTTAACAATTCTAAATTATACGTGTTAACATAAATTCGTACCTTATCTTTATGATGGTTAAATGAATATGCACATTTCTGCGATTGAAGATCCCACAATTTTACCGTCGTATCGGCCGAGGAACTTGCTAACAGGTTCCTTTGCATTGGTTTTTTTTTTTTTTTTTTTGAAAAAAAAATCATATTAAGACCCGCGTATGCATACGTTACGCCAACAAACTTACCTATGGTTTTTATTCCATGATAATGACATGACCGAATCCGTATGATGTTCCGCACTTGGATTCTAAGAAACATTCAGAAAATTGTTGAAATTCGAAAGAACACTTATTGTTATCCACGATATAAAAAAGATATTCTAATCACCCCTGAATTCTTTCTCTTTTTCTCTTTGTCCTCGCGCTTTCCTAATATTGCGTCAGGGTACATAGAATCTATTGTATCCAGATCCCAAATCTCAATCTCCGGATCAAATGTCCCAACCGCAATATAATTACCACCTCCGTCCATCCCCGACTTCCGACCCAATCGAAACTTTCGCCATTCCA